CGGGGCCGCCCTGCCGGCGGAGCTCGCGCACCCGGCTGCCGAGTGCGTGGATCCCGCGGTGGTCTTCCCCTTCCCGGTGAACAAGCGCGAGCCCGCGCCGGTGCCCGCGGCCCCGGCCGGTGCTCCGGCGGCGGGCCCCGCGGTCGCCTCCGGAGCGAGCGCCGCAGCCCCAGCTGGCGCCCCGGTGGCCGCCCTTTCGCGTACCGGAGGCCGCCCGGCCAGCGGCGGTGACCACAAAGCCCTCAGCACCTCGGGAGAGGACACCCTGAGCGACTCAGGTAAAGACCGAGCCAGGGTCCCGGCTGCCTTCCTGGGGTGCTGGTGCAGGGGGCTGCGCTCCTTTTGTTACTGTTTATGGGTTTGGTTTTAGGGGAGAGCGTTTTGGAGGTCGTGCTGGTGGCTGAGAGGTCGATTTTTACAAGCCGATCCTGGGGTAAGGAGGAGAGGTTGAGTGAAAGCTGCCAAAAGGGTGTTTTCCAAAGTCTCACCTTCACTGAAGTTCCTTCCACCCACTCTGGGACCCCCCAACTCCACCACTGGCTCTCGCCCTGTCCCCCACCTGTCTCTCTCCGCAGTGCAATCCGAGGAATAATATTAGGAAAAGTTGAGTGGCTAAAGCCGTGTGGGGGCTTAAGGGGTCTACGGCTGCATGGCTTTGGCAGAAACCTGTTAGCCCGGGGGTGGGGGTGGCGGGAACGGACTGGTGTCCAGGTGAGGGGTGGGGAGACACCCCGAGAAGACAGAGGAGTTGTGCAAAATCCTGTTTAGGGCACAGGAAGTTAGAGGGAGATGGCACAGATGGCTAGTGCCAATTTATCTTATTTTTCAAACCTGGGGACTCTTTCCCCCACTCAGTGGGTGGGTGGGCTATTTGCTCGCGTACGTGGCCAGCAGGCGGCGATATGCTGGCCAGCAGGCGGGCCAAGGATCTGAAAGGCTGGGGGTGGTGGGGCCACCCTTCCCTCCATTCAGCAGCTGGTGGCAAGTATACAACAGCGGCTGTGTACATTTTCAAGGGGCTGCCTGTACATTGTGCAGTGTGAACTGAAGTCCAGTTTTGTGTTCTAGCCAGAATTCCAGGACTAATTTCAGATCCCAGTTGTATTTTGTAATCCAGCGTCCTTCAAGGTGAGGGCTTGGAGGGTGGACACTTAGCCAGCCCTACCAGAATGCACACACCCTGGAAAGACTCATTGATAAGTTCTATTGTGTGCCTCTGCCTGTCTTAAACTGAAGGGTAGGGCTAAAAGGAAGACTTTGCCTGGGGCTCTGAAGAACTCGCCAAATACTTGCACGGCCCTTGTCCTTGGACCTGGGGCTCCCTTGAACCTTGAAAACGAGTGTTTTCAGAATGCAGGCAGATAAAAAGCCTAAATTTCCTTCAGGGCTGAGGACGGATTCAGCTGAGGCTCCTGGAAGGAAACTTGGTGATAAGCCTGCAGTTTGAAAGCGGGTCTGTCCCTTTAATGTCTGTGCCTTGACAGCTCTCGGGTGAGGAAGCACTTCCTTCCAACAGCTGTCTTCTTGGCAGAAAACCAAAACATTGGCTTAAAGGGACCCACAGGCTGGAACAGCCTCACATTTCGGCTTTAGAACAAATCCTACAATTGTTCAGCTTTCCGGTCCCCTTCAGATCAAGCAGAAGATGTGTTTTGATTTTCATGCTTGCATTTTAAACAATAATTGAGAAGAGGGGAAAATGCACACATAATGACACACGTACTTTTTGTTGCTGTTATTATTGGTGACTTGGAGAAGAGGTGCTCCCACATTTGGGTTAAGAGCTCCTGTGGATTGTAACTTTGTAGTTAAGATTTGATCTTTGCTAGACAAAACAAGGCTTCAATTGTTCTTCAAGTTTAAGGACGTAAAATCAAACTCAACCATGTGTAAAATCGCTAAATGAGGCTCCTAAAAGGAGGACCCTCAATTCTTAAGTGTAGAGATGGAAATATAAATAAGTGTATAGGGTGGACTAGTGATGATGTTAAAAGCTATCATTTATTGAGCATCTGCCTACTAGGCCCAGGTCTCTACTTGTTATCTGTCTAATCCAACGCTGTGGTATTATCCCCATTTAGTAGCTGAGCAAACTGAGGCTTAGAAAGGTTAAGTCACTTGCCCAAGGGTCACACAACTAGTGTGTGATGGAGCCAAGATTCTGTCTGACCCCAAAGCCCAGGTTCTTTTTGGAAGCTGAAAATGCTAGGAGTATGGGGAAGAAAAAAGTATTTGCAGATATATGTAATTTAAAAAGATGTAGAATACATTTCTGCCAACAGCTATGTTGATGGACTCATAATAATAGCAAACTATGTGCCATGGCTTGCTGTAAGGTTTTGTGTGTGTGTGTGTGTGTGTGTGTGTGTGTGTGTGTGTGCGCGTGTGTCTCACCCCTGAGAATAACTCCCATCTTGTTCTCAAAGATGATGACGATGAGGAAGAGGAAGACGAAGAGGAGGAAATCGACGTGGTGACGGTGGAGAAGCGGCGGTCGTCCTCCAACAGCAAGGCTGTCACCACCTTCACAATCACTGTGCGTCCCAAGAGCGCAGCCCTGGGCCCAGGGAAAGCCCCGTCAGGTGACCTGATCCTCAAACGCTGTGTGCCCATCCACCAGCAGCACAACTATGCTGCCCCGTCACCCTACGTGGAGAGTGAGGACGCGCCGCCCCAGAAGAAGATTAAGAGTGAAGCGTCCCCACGTCCCCTCAAGAGTGTCATCCCCCCAAAGGCTAAGAGCTTGAGCCCCCGCAACTCTGACTCAGAGGACAGCGAGCGCCGCCGGAACCACAATATCCTGGAGCGCCAGCGCCGCAATGACCTGAGGTCCAGCTTTCTCACGCTCAGGGACCATGTGCCAGAGCTGGTGAAGAACGAGAAGGCTGCCAAGGTGGTCATTTTGAAAAAGGCCACCGAGTACGTCCACTCCCTGCAGGCTGAGGAGCACCAGCTTTTGCTGGAGAAGGAGCAGTTGCAGGCAAGGCAGCAGCAGTTGCTAAAGAAAATCGAACACGCTCGGACTTAAACGTTTCTCGAAACTGGACAGTCACTGCCACTTTGCACATTTTGATTTTTTTTTTTTTTTAAACAAACATTGTGTTGACATTAAGAATGTTGGTTTACTTTCAAATCGGTCCCCCGTCGAGTTTGGATCTGGGTGGGGAGCAGGACATGTGGGGTTTGTTCTGCCCAGGACCTCGGGAGAGGGCCTGCATGATGGGATGCTGGGTGGCCCTTGAAGTTCCCTCCAAGTCACCTCCAAGACGCGGTTGAAGTTCGTGACAGTTGGGAGCCTCTGGGGCTGTTGAAGTCACCTTGTTTGTTGCAAGTTTCCAAACAACAGAAAGTCCTTCCTTTTTACAATGGTGCTTTAAGTTCCAGCAGATGCCACATAAGGGGTTTGCCATTTAATTAATACCCCTGGGGAACATTTCTGTAAATACCACTGACACACACCCGCCTTTTATATACGTCCTGGGTAATGAGAGGTGGCTTTTGTGGCCAGTATTAGACTGGGAAGTTCATGCCTAAGTACTGTAATACCTCAATGTTTGAGGAGCATGTTTTGTATACAAATATATTGATAATCTCTGTTATGTACTGTACTAATTCTTACACTGCCTGTATACTTTAGTATGACGCTGATACATAACTAAATTTGATACTTATATTTTCGTATGAAAATGAGTTGTGAAAGTTTTGAGTAGATATTACTTTATCACTTTTTGAACTAAGAAACTTTTGTAAAGAAATTTACTATATATATATGTATATATATATATATGTGTATATATATATATATATATATATATATATATATATATA